TTTTTTGAAAAGCATAGTCGGACGCGTGTGTGTTTCGAGCCGCTTGCCTTACCCAGCCTCAATGCGCCCTCGTTGTTCTCCAGCATGCTGAAGCCGTCGCCGCCGCCGGCGAGGAAGCCGCTCACGATCACGCCGTAGAGCGCGTTTGGGTCCAGGGCGGCGTACGACGGGATGGTGCAGCTCTCGCAGCGCACCTCCGCGCTCACCACCCGTTGCCCGGCCGGCCGGCTCACGTCGTACACCACGTGAACTCCTGCGGGGGCCGCGCGAAAAACAAGAATTAAATGACGTTGAGATTTGTGGCCGCCTGCAAAGTAGCGTTGTGAGGGGATCAGTTTTGACGAACCGGAGAGCTGCAGGAAGGCCCCCTTCCACGCCTGGCCGGGGACGTACTCGCTGACGCCGTGCTCGAGCGCCTGGAGCAGCACCGTACCCCGGATCCTGAGCAGCACCTCCAGGTTGTCGAAGGGCATGACCTCCATCACGTCCTTGAGCGTGATGGTGCCGCCGACGGACGACGCGTCGATGGACTCGCGGATGGAGCCGCCGTTGACGAGGGCGATGGCGGCGTCGGTCCAGCCCTTCTCGGAGCGGACGTTGACCGCGCGCTGAGGGGTCATGAAGGTCAGGGGGTCACGAGAGGTCATCATGAGGGTCATGAAGGTCATGAGGTGCGAACAGCAAAGCAGAACAAACAGCAGTTTTCCGCGTATGGAAACATGCGGTGTACTTGCCGAGTAGACGAAGGCGTCCGCGATGAGGTTGCCCAGGTTGCACTCCTGCCTCCGGCACGAGCTGCCGTCGAGCAGCACGGTGGTGCGGCCGATGGGCTGCAGCACCTTCTCGTCCAGCTGGCTCTTCCACTTCAGGACCTCGGCCAGGGTGTCCTTGTCTGCGGATCAAACTGTCGTCATGCACTCCGGACTAGGGATTTAATTTTCGGGCCAGGTGTTTCGGGGAAATTTTCCAACATTTTTTTTTTATCCTTTTAGTTTTTTCCAACAAAAAAAGACGGATTTTAGAATTTCTTTCCCCCGGACGCGTCCGGCCGCGGACGCCTACTCACCTTCCTCGACGTCCTTGTTCAGGAGGATCGGCCCGCCCTCGAGATTCGTGAGCTCGCCGTTGGCGTCGAACTTGAGCTTGAGGCTGCCCATGTACTTGGTGAAGGCGTAGGCCTGCACGACGGGCACCTTGCGCCCCGAGGCCTGCTCGATCCACGTCGGGTAGAGGCCGACGGGCACGTCCGAGTCGGGCGGCGCGTCCGTGGCGCTCTTGCCGAACAGGAACGAGTGGCTGTGGCCGCCGACCACGATGTCGATGTCCGGGACCTTCCTGGCGATCACCTTATCCTTGTCGTAGCCCGAGTGTCCGAGGCCGATGATGATGTTGACGCCCTGCGCCTTGAGGGCCGCGGCCTCCGCCTTCAGGGCCTCCACCTCGTCCTGGAGAAGAACAAGTCAGTTAGGACCGCCGCGGGGCTGGGCTGGGGCCGGTTTAAGGAACACGCCGCTTTGAACTCACCAGGAACACGACGTTCTCGGGGCTGGACAGGAAGGCCGTTTCGGGCGTCAGGTAGCCGATGATGCCGATCTTGACGCCGCCTTTCTCGACCACGACGGACTTCTTGATGTTGAGCTTGTTCAGCTCCGGCTGCTGACTGAAGTCCGCGTTGGCCACCACCAGCGGCACCTTCAGCTGCTCTATGAAGGGCACGAGCCCGACCGTCTTGTCGTCAAACTCGTGGTTGCCCAAGGTGATGGCGTCGTACTTCATAATGTTGATGAACTCAGCAGAAATGCTGGACTTGAAGACGGAGTAGTAAACTGTCCCCTATGGTGATTTAAGGAAAACGGTATCATTAGCGTCGCACGTGGAAGCTCGTGTTAAAGAACCAGCGCTAAAGAGGGAGACGTAACCTAGCTGAGTGTAGGTCAAGAACCTTAACCACTTCCAAAATATGCGAGTTGACGAGTTATAAAGCAAGTCACACGAGAGTTTGGCGGGAGTTTCCACGACTCTCCGTGCATTTTGGCGAGTTTCCGCGAGTTTTCGCGAGTTTTCGCGAGTTTTCGCGAGTTTTCGCGAGTTCTCGCGAGTTCTCGCGAGTTTGCACGAGGCCTCACCTGGTACATGTCGCCCGCGTTGAGGACGAGCACGTTGGGGTCGGCGGCGCGCGCCTGCTTGACGATGGTGGCGACCCGCGCCTGGCCGCCGTAGCAGTGGCCCGCCTGCGCGTCCTTGTCCGAGCACGACCCGGACAGGGCGTTGGTCTGCTCGTAGCGGGCGTGCATGTCGTTGACGTGCAGCAGCGTCAGGTCCAGGCCGGCGGCCTCCACCAGGCGGGCGGGCGACGCCGCGGCCGTGCCGAGCCAGCACAGCGCCACCACCAGCCCTGCGACGATGAAATTAAGTCTTTAGACGGGGGGCATTTCCAGTGCCGTCTTTCGGGAGGAGACACTTTGTTCCGAGGCCTGAGCGAGGCGGACACTGACGGATCCACTACAGCTGCTGAACTACTCGCCGCGCTACTCGCGCTAATACATTTTCCTAGTTTCTCGGCCGGTAGAAGCCAAACACTGCCCGTAGGACCCGGTTGGCAGGGGGG